CAGGAAGATTCGGCTTCAGGGCTCGCTCTGAGCATCGGACGGACGGCGCCTGGACGCACCACCAGCAACTGCGGCACCGCTTCCTGGCAGGCCATACACGCGGCCGGCAGCTGCAAGATAGGGCCTTAATCATTAGAATGGGGTTGTGGGGGTTATACAATATGGTTATCAGGGAACTATAAGGGAATACCAGCAGTCATTTTTCCGACCCCCTATATTACTGTTCCAAACGTTTTCAGTTGGGTCGTGCTTCTTCCACCCATGAGGCTCATGGCTGCTGGGGGCTCCTAGTGAGTTAGATGGTGCTCATTCTCAAACCTGGTATATTCGCACCCTCCCCACCCCAGCAATAACAAACGTGCTAAATACTATTCGCCACCGCTAAGGAGAAAATTTGTTTCACTAAGTATATGGCAGCATTGCCTGCGCACCACTGAAGAGGCAGGGGACTGACTCGTGGGAAGGGGAAGCCGGACCCCGACCGCCTCCTCCGCCTCCCCGCCCTCGAGTAGTCATCGTCGTCACGAGCAGGAGTTGGAGTAGGAGTAGAAGAAGGAGCAGGAAGAGGAGTAGGACTAGGAGTAGGAGTTGGAAGTAGCAGTAGCATTTTCAGTAGCAACAGTAGTAGCAGTAGTAGTAGTAGTAGTAGTAGTAGTAGTAGTAGTAGTAGCAGTAGCAGTAGCAGTAGCAGTAGCAGTAGTAGTAGTAGTAGTAGTAGTAGTAGTAGTAGTAGTAGTAGCAGTAGCAGTAGCAGTAGCAGTAGCAGTAGTAGTAGTAGTAGTAGTAGTAGTAGTAGTAGTAGTAGTAGTAGTAGTAGTAGTAGTGGTAGTGGTAGTAGTAGTAGCAGTGGTAGTGGTAGTGGTAGTGGTACTGGTTCTGGTAGTGGTAGGGGTAGTGGTAGTGGCAGTGGCAGTGGCAGTGGTGGTGGTGGTGGTGGTGGTAGTAGTAGTAGTAGTAGTAGTAGGAGAAGTAGTAGTAGTTAGCAGTAGCAGTAGCAGTAGCAGTAGCGGTAGCAGTAGCAGTAGCAGTAGCAGTAGCAGTAGCAGTAGCAGTAGCAGTAGCAGTAGCAGTAGCAGTAGCAGTAGCAGTAGCAGTAGCAGTAGCAGTAGCAGTAGCAGAGTAGTAGTAGTAGTAGTAGTAGTAGTAGTAGTAGTAGTAGTAGTAGTAGTAGTAGTAGTAGTAGTAGTAGTGGTAGTGGTAGTGGTAGTGGTAGTGGTAGTAGTAGTAGCAGTGGTAGTGGTAGTGGTAGTGGTACTGGTAGTGGTAGTGGTAGTGGTAGTGGCAGTGGCAGTGGCAGTGGTGGTGGTGGTGGTGGTGGTGGTGGTGGTGGTGGTGGTGGTGGTGGTAGTAGTAGTAGTAGTAGGAGAAGTAGTAGTAGTTAGCAGTAGCAGTAGCAGTAGCAGTAGCAGTAGCAGTAGCAGTAGCAGTAGCAGTAGCAGTAGCAGTAGCAGTAGCAGTAGCAGTAGCAGTAGCAGTAGAAGTAGCAGTAGCAGTAGTAGTAGTAGTAGTAGTAGTAGTATAGTAGTAATAGCAGCAGCAGCAGGAGCATTAGTAGTAGTAGGTAGTAGGTAGTAGGTAGTAGGTAGTAGGTAGTAGGTAGTAGGTAGTAGGTAGTAGGTAGTAGGTAGTAGGTAGTAGGCAGTAGGTAGTAGGTAGTAGGTAGTAGGTAGTAGGTAGTAGGTAGTAGGTAGGTAGTAGGTAGTAGGTAGTAGGTAGTAGGTAGTAGGTAGTAGGTAGTAGGTAGTAGGTAGTAGGTAGTAGGTAGTAAGTAGTAGGTAGTAGGTAGTAGGTAGTAGGTAGGAGGTAGTAGGAGGTAGTAGGAGGTAGTGGGAGGTAGTAGGTAGTAGTAGGTAGTAGTAAGTAGTCGTAGGTAATAGTAGGTAGGTAGTAGGTAGGTAGTAGGTAGGTAGTAGGTAGGTAGTAGGTAGGTAGTAGGTAGGTAGGAGGTAGGTAGTAGGTAGGTAGTAGGTAGGTAGTAGGTAGGTAGTAGGTAGGTAGTAGGTAGGTAGTAGGTAGGTAGTAGGTAGGTAGTAGGTAGGTAGTAGGTAGGTAGTAGTAGTAGTAGTAGAGTAGTAGGCAGTAGTAGGTAGTAGCAGGTAGAAGTTGTAGGTAGTAGTATGTAGTAGTCGGGAGAAGTAGGTAGAAGTAGGTAGTAGTAGGTAGTAGTCGGGAGAAGTAGGTAGAAGTAGAAAGTAGTAAGTAGTAGGTAGTAGGCAGTAGAGTAGCAGGTCGTCATAGGTAGTAGTAGGTAGTAGTAGGCAGCAGTACGTAGTAGAAGGTAGCAGTAGGTCGTGTAGGAAGTAGTAGGTAGTAGTAGGTCGTAGTAGGTAGTAGCAGGTAGTAGCAGGAAGTAGTATGTAGTTGCGGGTAGTAATAGGTAGGAGAAGCAGTAGTAGGGGTAGTAGGCAGCCACGCTTACTCACACCGTTTCAACGACGTATAAACATCACCGGTACTTCTGGCCTATCTAAAAAATCATAACTTCCTACTTGTCGTATGTCGCACGACTCACCCCCCTAGCCCTCGAGAGTCATGGGTTGGAGGCTTCAGTGTGTTTGAACCCTAAACCCTAAACCCTAAACCCTAAACCCTAAACCCTAAACCCTAAACACTGACCAAGCCTCAAGCTCCAAAAACAAGGCTGACAAGGCCCTGCAGACATGAATCTGGCTGGGCTTACGAAAGGTCGGGTGTTCGGGGCTTCAAGGCTTGCGAGGGCTTGTGGCTTGGTTGGGGCTTGAGGCTTCATACAAGGGTCGGCATACTTGCCATTGATGTTCCCTTATGGTCCCTTTGCAAGTACACCCCCCAAAACTCTATTCTAATTCTTCAGGCCCCCATAACCCTAACCCTAACCCTAAACCCCAAACCCTGAACCCTAAACCCTAAACCCTAAACCCTATACTGAATATTACTCAGGCCCCTATATTGGAAGGGTTCCAGGAATCAGCGCTCCCGGAATCGGCGCCTCGTTCAGGAGGCGACCCGATTTCATGGATGCTTTGCTCATCGCCACACATGGGAGGGTTAGGGGTTTAGGGTTTAGGGTTTAGGGTTTCGGGTTCTTGGACCAACCCGCGACTTTGCAGATTGCCGGCTCCGCGCCACGGGCTACCACTAGTCTTGCTCCTCTCACGAATGGCAACCTCGGAACTCGAAGTCTGCCAAGCTCTTTGAGCCAAAAGAAGCCTGCAGTCTTGATTGAACATTGAGTTTAGCAGTTGAGCGGCTTTTCAAAGGCTTTCTCAAAGGCTTTCTCAAAGGGTTTCCCAAAGGGCTCCCCAAAAAGGTTCCCAATGGGTTTCCCAAAAAGGTTTCCCAATAGGTTTCCCAAAAAGTGTTTCCCCAACAAGCTCCCCCACAGACTTTCTGAAAGGGTTTGCCCAAAGGGTTTTCCAAACGATTTCCCAAGAGGTTTTTGAAGGGTTTCCAAGGGTATCACAAAGCCTTTCCCACCAACGAGTTTCCCAAAGCATTTCCACAAAGGGTTTGTCAAAGAGTTTCCCACAAAGGTTTCCCAATCAGGTAGCACCAAAATCGAAAGGTCTGTGGTGCAGGACTGAATCAACACACGATGGCATCAAATTCTGCCCCCCTACATCCGCAACCACAACCACGATGGTGCCAGCGCACCAACCTAGGAAGTTTTGGGTTTAAGGTTCAGGGTTTAGGAAGATGGGGGGGCAGGGGGGGGGGCATCGTGGAGTCAGATGGATGTCCTCACTGACAACAGTTGGGTTTAGCCCACTGCTAAGCAAACACCCTGGCCTCAGTTGAATGCCACGCAGCTGGGTTGTCTCAATGGAGGCTGTTGTTGGTTGAAGGCTAGGTTCCTTCTCACATGGCTTGCTTGCCGGAACGCGGTGAACCAGGGACTTCCGTAAACAGGGTGGGGTAGATGTGTACACCTTTCACGGTCTGGGTGCGCTTGAATGCCAAGATGGCATGCCCAAAAACCTGGTTTACCTTCGGCTGCGGACTCGCCCTCTTATGTTAAGGGCGTGGACTTCTTGCAGAGATGGCTGAAATTGCCAGGGACTTCCGTGTTGCCTCAGTTTCCACTGCAGCTCAAGTCGCCACTTCCTCTTTGCGATCTTCCACCCTAAACCCTAAACCCTAAACCCTAAACCCTAAACCCTAAACCCTAAACCCTAAACCCTAAACCCTAAACCCTAAACCGGGGTTTCCCGGAAGTCAGAGATGCCTGTCGTGGCCCCCAAAAGCACCGGGCGCAGGATTCGCAGCACGCGGTTTCGGGTTGAAGGGTTTAGGGTTTAGGGCGTAGGGTTTACGGTTTAGGGTTTAGGGTTTAGGGTTTAGGGTTTAGGGCGCTGGTCCATCACTGCGACTCGCAATGACAGCAGAGGTTCATCCTCTGCTGTCACCACGATGTCCGGTGCAAAGCACGCGGGGGATATGAGGGGGTTCATCCAACTGTCACAGTTGGCGTGAACCGCAGAAAACTGGTAAAAGCGGAGTCAAAACAAATTTGTTCAAACAAAGTCTATAAAAGGAGCGCTGGTGAATGCATTTGGCTATGTACTCGCACACAGTGTCCCTAAATTCAGAAACTGCCTGTAGAGGATCTGCCTCCACCAGCGCCGGTTGCAAACCCGGGTGGCTCGCACCGAAACGAAATCAGGAAAACTGGATGTGGAAAACACAAATTAAGATACCGATGCTGTGAGTCGGTGACACCTGCACGACCTCGGCGCTAATCTCGACAGCGAAAAGGCTCAGGTTTGAGGCTTCAGGGCTTAGGAGCACTGTGACTATTTAGTTTAGTCGTTACAACTATTTGCCTACGAACCCCCAAAGAACGGAAAATGATAGGGTTCGGGGCGCGTAGTTTAGGTTCCATGTCCTGTTCACAGGCCATGATACAGCGTGTGTTTCGGAATTTGGAATCCACCACATCGCCCCCATACCTGAGCCTAAACCCCCACCCGGTGCCCAGCCGCGGCAAAGCCCTTCTTGGGCAGCGTACGAGCCATCGCGGCTTAGCACACCTGGCTGGTGCAGGGTTTGGGTTTGAGGCGCACAGTAGAGAGGAAAACGTGCAGTTGCTTTGGGCCATGTTGTTGTATGCCTCGAGGGTGTTTTGGGCTCTTTCATGGCTTTAGGCTTTAAAGGTTCTTACCGTTTCAATAAACTCTAAGAATCAAGAAGCACGTCGCAATCTAGCGCTTGGGACATTAAATTTTCCGCTTGGGGTCGACCCCTTTTACATTGAAATCTCAACGTGCCAGGACACTAAGCCGAATGCCAAATCCAAGAAAGCACACGCCTGCTTGTCCATCTCCAAAGTGACCGTCGCAAGGCCTCCCTTCAACGTGTCCTCCGAGAGAAAACAAGGTTCGGGGGGTAAAACACGGCAGCTTGAAGACTTAAACCTACCAGTCTTCCTGCTCACTTCAGGAGCTTAAGCTTTGGACCGAAGTTCGAAAACTTTCAACTTGCAAACAATCACGACCCCCACCAAAACACCCTACCACCAATCCTTAAACCTTCTCCTACTTGAAGACATCAAGGGTGGAAGGGGTAAACATGGGAGCTTGAAGACATAAACCTACCAGTCTTCCTGCTCACTTCAGGAACTTTTGCCTGTACCCGAAGCCGTGGACCGCAGCTCGAACACTTTAGACTTACAAAATTAAATAGGACCCCTACGAAACAAGAAACCACCAGCAATCCTTAAAGCTTCTACTTCAAGAAATGAATCTTTAAGCATAACCTGTAGATCTGCTACCCCCCATGTTACACAAAGCCGAGGCCATGGGTGCCGAGCCGGTGCGTCCTTGACGCCCAGCTCCTCGAAGATGGCCTTTACCAGGGGTTTTGGGTTTAGGGTTTAGGGTTTAGGGTTTAGGGTTTCGGGTTTAGGGTTTAGGGTTTAATGCTTCGGTCCGCGGGAGGGAGCGAGGGGAGGGGGGGTCGGCGGTGGGGAGGGTGGGGTTTGCCGAAAGGATCACCACATACCATCGTCTAGCTGCCACGTATTCTGAGGAAGGCATCGGCCCAATTGGCGGGGCGTGCCGACCAGCTTCAAGACTGTCGGCAACATCAGCGCCTGAGAGTGTGCCAACTTAAATGGCATCATTTGAGTGCTGATGCCGCTAGCCATGCATCATTTGAGTGCTGAGCCCCGTCTATGACGAAGATGCCGGCTCCCAAGTGACGTGCTCGATGGATGAAAAGACTGGCTGGGGCCGATGATCGGTGGCCCATCAGCATCGGACGTGGCAGGCAAGGAGGCAGTGCAGTCGATGTCCACAGCACGCGGCACAGCTACGTCCCAGGAGCAGGCAAAGCGCCCCACCATCTAGCTGCATGGATTGGAGCCATGGTGCTCAGCAAGAAACCAGAAAGTGAGGCAGAGTGAGAGAGATACTGAGAAGAAGACAGGCAGAGAGAGAGAGAGAGTGAGTGAGTGAGTAAGTGAGTGAGCGAGCGAGGGAGTAAGTGAGTGAGAGTGAGTGAGAGTGAGAGAGAGAGAGGGAGAAAGAGATGGAGAAAGAGAGTGATAAAGACAGAGAGAAAGAGCGAGAGACAGGGGAAGACCGGCCTCGTACTGAAGGGCCGCGTTGCTCCAGGTGAACTCTGCGGAGGCGGCCATGGCTGCCCGAGTCATGGCCTTGACCTGATCTCAGAGGACGTGCGAACCCAACCCGAAACCCCAAAAACCCAGGCTCTAAACCCGCTAGCCTAGACCCTGCCCCAAAGTCTCGGAAGCGAAGGGGGATGCCCCAAAAAGAAGCGCATGGCTTCCTACCCTTCAAAACCTCAACCCCGTTTGGCCAGCCTTCGCTGGCTCCGCGATGAAGAGCTTCGAGGCGCGCTTCAAAGCCTTCGCGATGGACTCCACCGACTCCTTGCTTGCGCGCGCTTGTTAGGGTTTAGGGTTTAGGGTTTAGGGTTTAGGGTTTAGGATTTAGGATTTAGGGTTTAGGGTTTAGGGTTTAGGGTTTATGGTTTAGGGTCTTAAGGCTTTTGGGCAGGTTGGAGGCTTCTATTGTAGCTAAACACCCCAAGCAGTATAAGACCTGGAGCCTGCCCTGAACCCGAAACATGAAGAACCACCTCTTCGCCCAGGGCGTCGGATTTTAGGCTTGATGTACACAAAGCTTTCTGCGCAAGTGTGCAGGTGCGCGGGCCTCGTCAATGACGGCCTCCACGGACATCTCCTTGTCGGTCCAGATTCCGTTCAGGCCATCCTGGCAAGCACCGCATCCGATCAAAACCTCCGCCCCTGTTTCCTGCAACCTCCAAACTAGGACCTCACCCAGATCTCTGTGAAACTCTAATCTCCCAAGCAGACTAGCAGGTTCTGTCAAGGAACTCTCTTGAGCGATGATACCAAAGTATGGAATCCCAGACACAGCCGAAAGCCCTGCAGTCTCGCCGTCTCGCCTCAACAGTGTCCTTCAGGCCACCCGTCGGGGCGACGATGGGCAAGGTGCCCATGCGCATGGCCTACCGCTGACGAAGTCTTGGCATGAAAACGGGGCCAAGGATGTTTCAGGGCTTGGGTTTCATCTCGGGCGGCTTGGGACAGACGATGTTGGGAGCCTTGGCTTGGAGGATACAGCTGAAGGGCTTGTGAGATCGCGCGCACTTCGGCCGAAACCAAAACCTTCCACGTTGCACAGCCCTGAACCGTAAGCCCTAAAATGAGGAACCCCCAGCACAACAATGTCTGGGACCTCCATCTGCACCAGGCCACAAGGCTCCCACCTGCATTCGAAGACGGGAGTGCGGGGTTTTAAGTTTCTGGGGTACAAGGGCTCTTTGGGTTTTTAGGGCTTGCTGTAGCGTTTAAGGGCTCAGGATATTTCCAGCTTCAGGATTTTCGTTCGCAAAGAATTGGTCTCAGGGCAGTGCCCAGATCTTGAACTCAAGTCCGTTTTCTATCCTCCAAACAGGCCACACCATGCACCCTCAAGGCACTCGGGAGCTCGTGCTCACCTGTTTGATACGAGTAGTGTTGAAACTTTCGATCCTGATAGTGATCAAAGTGTCCGGATCGGCAACCTCATTCCACGGCGCCGATGGCCGCAGACCAACAAGGCAAAGAGGGGCTGTCGTGGCCAAACCCCGAAACCCTTGCAAACCCCGAAGCCCTACGCCCTTCTCTTCAAACTCGCAGGGGACCTGAAACAGTCCCGACCCGTGAGCCGAAACAAGCCGGGAGCGCCGGGACGGCAGCAGGGTGAAGTCGCAGCCGGCCAACAGAGCGTATCGCTCAGGGCCCATCCAGCCTGCACGGAGGTTCAGGGCTGGATGGGCTCGGGCTACTTGAGCGGTCGCACATGCACCCTTGAGTGTCACAAGCCATGCCATCGATCCGCATTGGCCTGCATAGAAGAACTTGGTGGGAAACTTCTTCTCGACAGCCTTCGTCCTGTCTCAAGGCACAAGCACGGAAGCCAGAAGACCCCTTGACCCCGCAACACCAAATCCTGCAATCTTAACTGACAGATCCTCCTACTGTACATGAGCCAAAACTGACTGTGGAACTTATTTGAAAGACTTAAACTCTCCGCTTGGCTGCAAGTTCCGCCTGTACAAGATTGGCTAGATCCTTCCCAGAACACTCTCATTAACCGCCCAGAAACCCTTGGTCTTGTGTCTGGGACACACAATGAGAGAGCTCCTGCAAAAACTCTCAAACGCTAAAACCCCAAGCGACAAGAAGCCGAGACTAAACCCCAGACCCTAGACCCAAGCGTAGGTGCCAGGCTGGGCCACGAGGTCGGCGCGGCCGGAGCCCACGATGACCACCTGCATCTCCGTGTCCTGGCAGGGGTCCAGGGTCCAAGGGCATAAGGAGTGAAAGGGGATCCTGGGGCTTGTCAGGAGAGTTTAGGCGTCGGGCTTACAGTTCTTGTGGAGGTCAGGGACCGCGCAGTGGTGCCTCCTGATTCCTCAGGGCAAAAAGGGATGGGGGGGGGGGGGGGACCGGCCACCCCCCCAAGTAGTTTGGCCAAAACAAAAGGTTGTCAGCCAACAAAGCCCCCGCAAGCTCCAGGGAGCTAGCTTTCGTGATAGTCATGAATGTGTTTGTTCACTTCTGCAATATCCAGACTCCATTGGGGTCAAAACAACAACAGCATGGGCGAATGATCTTGTTTCGGGCCTCGGGTGCTGAGGACCGCGGGTGACGAATTGCCCAAGCCAGAAAAACCGGGGGGAGCTCGGCTCTGGGACTTGTGGCTTTGCCTTTTCTCAGGGCGTTGGCAAAATGAAGTTGGCCTTAAAAGGGAGGCCTCCAGGATCTCCACCAGGGCCTCCAGGAGAAGGTCATAGCCCTTCTGGGCATCCAGCCTGAAGCTTGGCGACCCACACGGCAGAACCAGCAACTTTGAAAACGCAAAGCCGGAATCTCCCTCCAACACCAACCTCCCTCCAACACCAACCTCCTTCAGAAGGGCCCCCCCCCCCCCACGCGCGCGCGCTTATCCCTGAAGCCCCGCCCCCTGGCAGCCCAAACTCCCCAAAAAACTCCCCCGAAGCGCCTTCCGATGAAGCACATCAAAGGCCCCTTGGACTCGGGGAGGTTGTTCTGCGCACGGTAGGTGGCCTGGCAAACTGTGAAGTCGATTTTAGATGAGGGCCCTTTGTGGGGGGGAGTCCATGTACACTTGAACCTGAACATCTAAACCTGGAACCTCAAATCTAATCTCGAACCCGAAGAACCTAGAGTAAGTGTGCCATTTACGGTTTGGGAGGCGTTCGGAGTTCGGAGTCACGTCCGCGATGCGAAGCAAGTCGTCAACCCTTGACTGTCGGGAGGTGCTCAGCCGCCTGTGTCCGCCAACAAACTTCCCAGAGCACATGGGCAAAGGAATGAAGGTCTGGTGGGGTGCGGCAAAGCAAATGAACAATCTCCTCATGATAACCTTCCTCAAACTCCAACCCCACCAATCCTCTCAGCGAAGACCGAGCTTGGGGAGGTGGCGTTTAAACCAAAAGAAACGGACGACGCAGCGCATTGAGAGCTCCACAAGCTCCCGTGAAACTTTAATCTTAATCTCCATCGCTCGATGCTTAATCCTCAGATTCAGAGCTTCGGGTCTCGGATCTTCGTGAGGGTGAGGGCTCTGCCCCGCGCTGGGGTCTTCCAGGCCTTGAGCTCGGCCTTCGCCTCGGGCGCCGTGGCCGCCTGGGCACAAGAGGGCCCCCTCATGTCCCCCCCTCTCTTTCTGGGTTTGACTGGGGGCTGGACATGTTTAGGACGTACAGTTTACGGCTTACGGGCTTAGGCTTAGTAATTGTAGAGCACGTCTGAGCCACCGGCCGTGAAGATGCCGCAGGACATCATGGTCTTCGTGACGAAGTTCTTGTCGCTGGGGGACACGCCCTCCTTCACGCCGTTCAAGATTCCTGGCCGCAGTGGCTTGAAAACCTGAAACCAGACGCCCCAAACCAAAACCCTCAGTCGCACGTCCTGTGCACTTTCCCAGCGTGAAGAGGTCCTCGAGCTCCACGCCCTGCTCTGAGCAGCACTTTCACTCTCGGCTAGAAGCACCTTGCAATGCCCTGGAGTTTATGGCGTAAGGATGCTCATGGTTTTTCATGCCTCGCAAGGTGTGCACCAAGCACATGGACCAGGCACATGGGCGCCTTCTCCGGATCCGTGCAGCACTCGACCGCGTAGCTGGGAGACACCGTCAAGGCCTTTGCCGGACGGACGATGCGGCAATGCTCCCTGATGGAGAGACACGGACCTGGCTGCAACCCAAAGTCCTGAGAGCCCCGAGATCCAAGCTTAAACCCGAAGCCCGAAGCTCCAAACATCTCTGAGCCTAGCCAGCACTGAGCCGGAGGCCCGGTCGGCGTACTTAAGGCCCGCAGCCATGGTGTTGATGCAGGACATCTGCGGCCGAGCGAGGCGCGCAGGAAGGCTTAGCTTAGCGTAGCGCTTCCAGATCGGATTTGGAAGATCTTCACAAGGCACACTTGGTTGCTTGTTGGCTCGCGGTTCAGAGGGGCTTCGGAGCCGCGCTGGCTGACCTTCTCGTTGTACTTGCCGATGCGCAGCGGCATCTTGAAGGTGATGCTGTCGATGTAGCGCTCCGGAACGCCGAAGATGCTGGCCAGGCCTGCCACCCAAAAAGGCCGAGCTTGTTGCTAGCACATGACCGATGACCAGATATGAGGAGGTTCGAGGGCTCCGAGGGGCTTCGGGCTTCTGGCTGGGCAGTACACGCCTTCCTCGCGCACAAAGCGACCCTGGAAGACGGCGTTGTGGCAGAGGAACCTTGGTGAAGTGCTTTTGCGCATAGGCACCTCAAGCATAACCGGAAAAACCCTATACCTTCAACTCTCCGAATAATGAACTAACCCGAGTGCCGGGGCTTAGCGGGAGGCTTCAGGGCTTTAGAGCTCAGATGCTTTCCGGCGCCCAGGGTCCAAGAACAGCCAAGTGGCGCGGACTTCGTGTTGGTCCACTTGCCTTTGGGCTTCGGCAGGTCTTGTTGAAGACTTGGCTTCGGGAGCTAGGGCTTCGGCCTTCTTTCCGGCCTTACGTGCTTGCGGCTTTTCGGCTACAAGGCTTCGGGGGGCCTGTGGGCTTCTCGGCGTGGATGAGCATCGGGACGAGGGCCGAGTGCCAGTCGTTGCACACGACCATGCAGTCGCCGCCGTACCTGAGCTGAGGGCTCGGGGGCCTTAGTTGGGGGTTCCCCCCTCTTGCCACTGAATCTCTAAACCATGACCTTTCCCCAAAAGCCCCAAAAGCACCCGAACCCGACAGCTCCAAGCCCTTCCGGTCACCATTGGTCCCTAAACCCTAAACCCTAAACCCTAAACCCTACACCCCAAACCCTTCAACCCTAAACCATGATGATTCTTCCCGGAACTCCCCCTCGCCATGCTGGGCCCCGGTGCGCAGCACCGCCCAGGGGCAACTCCTGGATGGCCTTCAAAGCAGCCTCGGGCGGTTTTTGGGGGGGCTTTAGGGGGGGCTTGGGGATGCTTAGGGTTTAGGGTTGAGGGTTTAGGGTTTAGGGTTGAGGGTTTAGGGTTTAGGGTTTAGGGTTTTAGGGCTTGGGGGATGCTTAGGGCTTAGGGCTTGGGGGTGTATACGATGTGCTTAAACGCTTCAACACACTCACACGACAGCTTTGTGCCCGTTCCTCCAGAGGCGAGAGGCAGGCAGCAATGCATCACCCCAAGGTGCAGAGGATGTGTAGGGCTTTGGGATTTTCCTTCTTCGGGCAGCACTTGAGGGTTCATCTCAAGTTGAGAGTGTACTGCTTAGGGTTGCGGCGATGTGGGGTTCTGGGTCAAGGCTTGTCGGGGCAGTGGAGAGGCCGCCTTGCAGAAGTAGGCGAAGCGAGCTTGGTTGTCCGCGAAGTCCTCCCGAAAGTTTCGAGTTTGGTAAAGGCGCTTCCGGTTTAGGGAGACAGGGAGCTGAGCAGTTTGAATTGGAGGGCGAGCCACAACTATGCATCGCATGTTCTGTCCAACGTCAAAACCGAACGCGACTTGTCCTGCTAGTACCTACATGTGCCTTACCCATAACATTCCATGAGCCGCCCCTGATCTATGCTCACTGTGGTCATCATCTCTAGAACGCAAGCCTAACCACTTACTCCTGTCAGCGAGCCTATTCACAATCTCTACAGACCTGTCTGTATGCTCAGAAGCAATCCCTAAACCCTAAACCCTAAACCCTAAACCCCCAACCCCTAAACCCCAAACCCCTCAACCCTAAACCCTAAAGAGTACCAGAGACATGCCCCGGGGTGCAGTTTCTTATAGGGCCACTGGACCAAATCGGTGCACCCCGAGCGAGCAAACGAATTGACAGCTTTGTGGTTCGCTCCACGCACCCCCGAGACTCTAAGCCCCGAACTGTGAGCTGCAAAACTACTGCTGCAAAAAATCACTGCAAAACCCTCATGTTGATTGCCCTAATCCCCAAACCCTAAACCCTAAACCCCAAACCCCAAACACTAAACCCTAAACTTAAACCCTTCGCATCGGTCATCCTTGCAGTTGGTCATGGACGGGTTTTCATCTATTTGAGATGTCGGCATCCACGGCTTAAACCATGGGTCGGACAGGCTGAGGAGACGGGGGGTGGCGTCCTGACCCCACTCAGGGCCGTACAACTTGGCACCGGTCTCTCCGTTGACGCGCTCCAAGAACGTCGGGTGATCGACGAACACGTAGTCGACCTCGCCAACGGCTACAACCCATCGGCCCGCCCTCCCAACTCCATAATGTGGGAGGCATACTGTCATTGGGAACCTGAATGCGCCCCCCCGCCATAACTTTGACCTTGACTTTTGGGCGGGGTTGAACAATGAATAAAATAATCTTTTCGGTGGGAGTCCCCCGGGGCGTACCTCTGACTATTGATAAATCAGCCAGACAAAGCCTTAAGCCCATCTGCGACCCGCCAAAGAGAATTTGCACACCGCAACGATGCAAAATGATGCAAAGCTCTAAGGAGCTATGGCTTTCGTGGTCATTTTGCTTGGTTCCTGGCCTTCTGCTTGTAGGTGTGGAAGAAGTGCACGGATTCGTTCTTGCCGCCCATGGGCACCGAGCTCCAGTAGCCGGTGTCCCAAGCATCCTTGTACTGGTCATAGCCTGCATGGGAGAAGCGCCGAGGCTGCCGAAGAGCTTCAACCCTGAAGAAACCCCCCGAATTTTTACCCCAAATCAAGAAATCCTAAACCCTAAACCCTAAACCCCCATAAAAACGAAGAGCCAAGTCGTGCCAAGCCACGGGGAGAGACGACCATGCAGCGGTGGCCAAGGGCCGCCAGCGCAATCGGCAGGCCATCCATGGCCTCTCCCAGGCCTGACGGAGGGTTCTTGCCGGATGGAAGCTGCCAGTGCTAAAGCAAGGGAGATGGGGAAGTCTCATGAATGCTCCTCATAAAGAACAAGGCGAACCTCCTCAATCTCGCGCAAAGTCTAGGATGTAGGGCCATTTGGAGTTCAGGGAACCTGTGGAAAAACCCTGCGATGCCCTTAAACACTTACAGGCGTGCATCCAAAAAATGCTGCATGCCTCCAGTCTTCGAGAAGGGAGCCACTTCACTGGTAACGAAGACGATCCTGACCGGGGGGGTGCACATGACAGCCTTCAGCAGTTCACCGATTAGTCAGGTGCCTTCCCTGAGCATGTGATCAGCCAATTGTATGCTTGCCAGGACACTGGTACTTCTTGCTGATGGTGGTGACCAACTTGCCACCAACCGTGGACACAGCACCACGCCCCTGACTGAGCGGAAGCTGACAACCGAAAGACCGCTGCATGGCATGCATCCCTTGCCTCGGCCATCGCCCGTCCCACAGCGACTGCAGGTGGTCCGACCTGCGTCGTATAGACGAAGTGTTGTGTGCGTGTGCGCGTGTCATGTAGACTTTCATGCATCCATGGCCAAGCCTTGGGTACGTCCTGCGCAGCGCTGGTGGGCAATGCCGCGGAGGCCGCCTCAACATGCAAAGCGTGCCCAGCGGGACGAACACTGCATATACCACCTGTGACTTACATGGATGGCCACTGCAAGTCCACTTTGGTTTGGCAAGTCGTTTCGGGTTGCTGCTGCTCGCCCTTGAACTTTCTGCGAAGCGTGCAGCAGCTTGGAAGAAGCTACCGCACGGCCCCGAAATGCAGCAAAACAGCGTGTAAAACGGAGGCGCACTTCAGAAGTTGGGGGCTTCGGGAAACGTGGGAAAACTCAAATGCCACTGCGTTTTCGCCGCGACTGTCGAAAAGCGCATAGAACTTTGAGGCCATCTTCTGCATGATTCGGTTTTAAACCGTTTTCGGGGCAAACCATATTTGGTACATCGCAAATACTGGACAGTCATCCGCACCATGCACGGTTGCGCTTGCGTCCCCACAGAAGCTGGTCTTGAACCGCTCTGAGTTCTGTCGCACTGGATCACACTCACACGTCGTGCCGGCCACTGCCAGCTGGCGATGCAGCAGCCCAATGCACGAGGCATGGTATGTTCAGCGAAGATCGAGCCCGGTTGTCTAGCGCACACGGCAGCTGTTATTTGGGTTTCTTCGGTTGTTGCAGATAGGGGAGACTTGCAGCTTGGACGACACAGCGGCAACGCACGCAGAGAAAAACTTCAAGTTTGGCAGGGCTGGTTGGCATCAAAGCCCCGCGTCCTGCTTCCGATCGCAGCGACGCAGAGCGCGGTCGCGCGGTCGCAAGCCACGCTAGATCGAAATGCGTGTGCTTGGTAGCATTTACTAAGATTTTGCAGCTGCAAAGGCCCGAAACCCTGCCCAGCCTTGGCATAGCCCCTGGCCGGGCCAACCGTGCTGGTTGCATAGGCGTTGGTGCCAATCTCGCCAGCTGCCACCGGCTTGCCACTCACGATGTTCAGCACCTGGCTGTGGGTTCTCTATGCTTTTTCTGGGGTTCTGGGATCAGTTTAGGACTTCAGGGGCTCCAAGGCTGTGGGAATCGGAGGGTCGAGGGAGCTATGAGTCTACGGGCTTCGAATGGCTTCTGGAACCTGTGCTGCGGCCCCAGTCACGCTGTTGGGAGCGGACTGGGTCGAGGCCACACCGCCGGCGTACTTCGAGGTGCTCGGCACAGCCATGGCCGGCTTGGCCTTGGCCTGCAGGAAAAGGAGGGGGAGGAGGAGGAGGGCAGGACGTATTTTCACAGGTTTCGGCGGTTTTGGCGTGCAGGGCTTCGAACTTAAGCAGCGCCCACCATTTACGGTTCAGGGCTTGGCTTGGAGGTGAACCCTGAAACCCTCGCAATAAATTCGAAGACAAGACACAACCCTAGAGGCGCACACGAAGCCCCGAACCCTAGACCGCATGAACCCGGAACCCCAAACCCTGAGCTCTACTACACCATCCTACACCCCAAAATCGAAACTCCCAAGCACACAGGCTGAGCCCAGCAGCTTCCTTCCCGCGCCTTGGGTGCCTCGGCCTTCGCCCCCATTCCTGCGCTGAAACTCTTCGGTTGAGGTTGCTAAGGGGAAGTTTCAGACGTAGGGGCCTTGAAAGGACGAAAAACAAGGGGAGTTTGGGGGGGGGGGGGCCGATGGGCAAACCTGGAGCTTACAATGATGGGTTTGCATTGAATTCGCATGGCTTTTTTTCATGGCATGGCGTTCCTTAATTGCATGCGGCCGATCGCAAAAACTGTGCTTGTCATTGTGATGGGCATTGAAAGAATGAAAAACAAGCAGGGCAAGTTGGGGGGGCAGCCAAATCGTGATGGCGCGATGTTCCTTCAGGCAAGCTTGCATGGCGGACATTCAGAACACTACACCAAAATCTATCTTTATGCAGTATTTCCTATTGTTGCTTGCTTGTCTTTTTGCCTATTTCCAGGAAAAGGGACTCGGACCGGAGGACCACAAGACCGGGAGACCAGAGGACGAGGGACAGAGGAACGGGGGACCAGGGACCGCAGGACCAGGAAGGGACCGCCACACCTCGGAACAAAAAATGACCCGCCACACCTAGGAAAGAAAATACGGGTCCCGCCACACCTGGGAGGAAAAAAACAAAGGAACACCACTGGACCCAGCAGTCCCGCCACAACTAGGGAAAGAAAGGCCGGCCACACCCAGGAACACAAAAAAGACCCCTGCCCCACCGAGGAGAACAAAAAGGCAAAAACGCCAGACACCCGACGCCACATCCTCAACCATCAATGCTACTACACCCACAAGCCCCAGCTGAGTTCCCCGTCCTCGTGCCAGGGCTGAGCCCGTGGCCGTGAGGCGCTCGGCAGCAGTCGCCGGCTTCTTGCCCTCCTGGCAAAAGGAAGGGGAAGCCCCGAAGCAAGCATTGAACATGTGGGTTAAAGTTCTTGATTCTCAGGTGCAGCGTCCAAAACTAAAACGCCCCCAACCCAGCGCCCCAAAACTCTTACACCCAAAACTGAAGAGCAATCCCAAGCCCCACACTCGAACACCTAAGCCTCAACCCCTAAAACTCTCAACCTCTCACCCTAAGCCCTAAACCGGCCCTACACCCTAAACCCTAAACCCTAAACCCTAAACAACCCCAAGCAACCCGAAGCACCCCCAAAGCCCCAAAGAGCCTCCATGACGGCGGCGGCCGAGATGGGGGACACGGCAGCCTTGGCCTTGGCCGGAGCGCTGACCTCGGGAGCTGGCTCTTTCTCGGGGCTTGGGAGCCTCAAGGGAGGTTTAGGGTTGAGGGTTTAGGGTTTAGGGTTTAGGGTTTAGGGTTTAGGGTTTAGGGTTTAGGGTTTAGGGTTTAGGGTTTAGGGTTTAGGGTTTAGGGTTTAGGGTTTAGGGTACTTGGGGGCCCCAACCCGAGAAGGCAACCGGAAAAACTCTTGAAGTTGAGTCATCGCAAACCCACAAGCGCTCGCCAGGTGGCGCCCGCAGAGGCCGGGCTGGTGGTTGTCGGGCCGCTGCCGGCCGCCTCTCGTGGACTTGGGTTTTTTTGGGAGGGCCCTGAAGGTTTAGGGGGAGCTTTGTCTTGGAGGGCTTAGTTAGGGCTCAGGATTCAGGGCTCAAGGGTGCTCCTCTGCTTAGCTGACAAGGGCTTTGCAAAGTGGGGTGCTCCCAAGGGCAGCTTGGGATTCGGGTAAGTTCGAAGCCCCTTCAAACCGTTTGAAGCTCCTTATGAACCAAACCCTCAACCGCCTCTTCAAAGAAGTGACCCAGCAAAGCCCCCGGTCGACTTGGCTCAAGCCTTGGGAGCTGCTCCTCCACCGGCCACCAGCATTGCCGCCTTGGACTTCGCCACCTCGCGAGGGATCGGAGATGTTGGGGGGTTTTCCGCCGAAGGCCTTGAGCCTTAGGGCTTGCAGGTTGGAATGTGTGTTGGCTTTGAGATTCTTCAGGGCTTTGGCTTAGCTTGATATGTTTTTTTTGGGTCGAGGAGTTTAGGACTGACGGTTGCCCGGGTTTAGGGCGGGCACAGGGGCTTCGGGCGCCCACATCACTCACCACCCCGAGAGCTGCGGCCTGGGGGGCAGCGGTTGCAGAGGCCGCGGTTGGGGCGGCGCCAGCGGCCTTGACCTTCTCCTGGAAGGGTCGCGCATGTCGATGTCGGGGCTCTAGGATTCAGCGACTGAGGCTCAGGGGGGAGGGTTTAGGGTTTAGGGTTTAGGGTTTAGGGTTTAGGGTTTAGGGTTTAGGGTTTAGGGTTTAGGGTTTATGGTTTCGGGTTTAGGGTTTAGGGTTTAGGGTTTAGGGTTTAGGGTTTAGGGTTTAGGGTTTAGGGTTTAGGGTTTAGGGTTTAGGGTTTAGGGTTTAGGGTTTAGGGTTTAGGGTTTAGGGTTTAGGGTGCACTTCGGGGCTTCACTTCCCCTCATCTTCGGGGGGGCGAAGCATGGCGAAGCGCAAGTGTGCGACTACTTCGGCTCCTCGCGGTTGGGGGCCTCCTCTCGGGCCTTGGCGGTCTGGGCGACGTCGCCAGCCTTCAGGGCCCCCTTTTCCGAAGGGAATTCTGTCTCTGGAGGCTGGACCGCTCGGCCAAAACCGACATGATCATCAAATCCACACTAAAGCCCAGAAAGAGCAGAAGAAAGTTTCGCGCCTTCGCAACGGGCACGACAGTGGGGGCCTGGGCGGGAGGAGTTGCCTTCGGTGCGGACATCCTCGGCGGCAGTTGGGATTCAGGGAAAACCTGGATTCAGGGAGGGGTGGGGTTCAGGGATGTTAAGGGGGCTTGGTCCTTCGGTTCGGGGAGGGTACGATTGGCAGGGATTCTGCAAGCTAGGGGTTCCAGGCCCTAAACCCTAAACCCTAAACCCTGAACCCTGAACCCTTCGGGCATTGCCCCAAAATTGACAGTTGGTGGTGCGGCGAGGTCGGATGGCTGTTATGGACCCCTAAGGGGTTCACTGAACTAGCCAAGTCATTCTGTGCGGTGAGCCCGTGAAGAGCGGAAGGGGTCAAAGGGTTTAGGGTTTAGGGTTTAGGGTTTAGGGTTTTGGGTTTAGGGTTTTCATCATTGAATCCGTGCACCAGATACTCACCAGATAGAGATTGTGCCTCGGGCCTCTGTTCACTTCATCTGTTCCGGTAATAACCCCTAAAAGACTCTGGAAAACTTGCAACATGCGAGTCACAGTCCCCGGCGGAGCCGAACATCGGTAGGATGTATTCAGGGGGAAATGATAGCTGAGCGTGCAAACCTTCGATGGGACTTTCTGGTTCTAGTTTGTAATATTGTTATCATAACTCAGAGGGCTCGCCTGGTTTAGGGAGCATACCTTCTTGAAGAACCCTAAACCCTAGACCCTAAGCCCTAAACCCTAAACCCTAAACCCTAAACCCTAAACCCTAAACCCTAAACCCTAAACCCTAAACCCTAAACCCTAAACCCTAACAACACAGCAATCGGTCCTGAACCCTCGTTCTCAGGAGCTGGCGTGGCGGTGCAAGCAAAGAAGCTTGGAAAATGATGCCGAGGTGGGAAAATGACTAAAATGACTGCGGCGAGCTGCCTTCAGGATGCAGGTTTAGGGCTTAGGGTTTTCACAAGGGATTAGGGCTTAGGGTTTAAGATTTCGGGTTAAGGGGTAGCACGGGACTCGAGCGTCAGCACGACAAAGCCCAAGCTAGGGCGTTGCAACGCTCCCGAGTTCCGGAAGGAGAGGCCAAAAAAAACTGGTCCTTCCACTTAAGGGCTTAGACTGCAGCTTGTCACTCAGGGTTGTTGTTTGGCCACCAGGCTGGGTGTACCCATTGTCTCAATGCAGGCTGAAGTCGTTTGGTGCTTGAAGGTGTTTCTCTCACACAAGTGTGTACAGCTTCACGTCTAGGCGCGTTTGAATCCCAAGATGGCATGCCCAAAACTCTTCTTCACCTTTGGCTGCGGACTCGCGTTGAACCTTACTCTGGAGGAGTCGGCCCTCTTGTGTTGTGAGGTCATGGGTTTCCTGCAGAGATGGTTGAAAAGGCCATGAGTTTCCACTGTTTCCACTGCAGCTCGAACTGCCACTTCCTCTTTGTGCAGATCTCCCGGGTTTCCCGGAAGTCAGAGATGCCTGTCGTGGCCCCCAAACGCACCGGGCGCACGGAGCGCAGCACCCTCTGTGACCAGGGTTTGGGGTTTAGGGTTTAGGGTTTAGGGTTTAGGGTTTAGGGGTTTCGGGGTTTAGATGGTTCAGGGTTTAGGGCTTTGGGTGTGAGCTTGCAACGGCCCCTGGTCCATGACTGCGCCTCGCCAGCAGAGGCTCATCCTCTGCTGCGAGCACGATGCGGTGCAACGCACGCGGGGGAGATTCGGAGCTCATCCAACTGTCTCACAGCTGGCGTGAGCCGCAGAAAACTGACGAAACCAGGGGCAGCCAAACACAGTTGTTCAGCAAGCCCTCCATTAAACGAGCGCCGGCGACGGCATAGAGGGCTTGGCTATGTACTCGCACACGGTGTCCCTAAACCCGAGGACTTCCACTAGAGGCTCTCCCTCCACCAGCGCCGGTTGCAAACCCAGGTGGCTCGCACCGAAACGAAAATCGGGAAAACTGGATGTGGAAAACACAACTAAGATAACGATGCTGTGAGTCAGTGAGACCTGCACGCCCTCGGTGCCAATCTCCACAGCGAAAAGGGCTCAGCGTTGAGGCCTCGGGGCGTATAATCACGTGACAGTTTTTAGGCTTTCCAGGGCGTGTGCTTTAGGTTTCCAGGTTCCGTTCGCAGGCCATGATACAGCGTGCAGCGTTCAGCATTCCGCTCCTGAGGACGTGTAAACGAAAATGGCCGCTACCTACACCCTGACGAAGACGCACCCAGCTTCCCAAAACAAAAGAGACTCGTTCCAATCGCTCAAGACCTTACCAGTGCATTTCACAAAGCGACACGCCCCCCGAACTCTCCACACCGACCTCGGAACCCTGACTGCTTCGGAAGTCGGAAGCCACTACATCGCCCCCCTGCAACCCTGAGCCTAAACACCCACCCGCTGCAAAGCCCTTCTGCAAAGGCCTTCTGGGGTTTAGGGTTTAGGGTTTAGGGTTTCGGGTTGAGGGTTTAGGGTTTAGGGTTTAGGGTTTAGGGTTTAGGGTTTAGGAACACCTACCCGCTGCAAAGCCCTTCTGGGGCAGCGTACGAGCCATCGCGGCTTTAGCACACCTGGCTGGGTGCAGGGCTTGGGTTTGCGGCCTACAGTTCAGGCCTTGGCGTCAAGCAAACCTTCAAGGGCCTCGCGTGTGGCTTGGGGATCCCTAAACCGCGAACCAACCCTAAACCCTAAACCCCAAACCCTAAACCCTAAACCCTAAACCCAATGTTTGAGGGCATGTTTTGGGAAGTTGTTGTGTGCCTCGAGGGCCTTTCGGGCTCAGGCGCCTTCATGGCATTAAGCTGTAGAGACTTCAGAGGCCTCTCGAAGGCTCGGGTTTCGAAGGCTCTACAAATTCGAAAAAGCAAAAAATAATGAGAAAAAAAAAAAACTAAACCCTAAACCCTAAACCCTAAACCCTAAACCCTAAACCCTAAACCGTTCACGGTCTAGGGCTTGGGATATGGAAGCTTCCGCTTGGGGTCGATACCCACTTTTTTTATTGAAAACCTCAATGTCCCTGGACGCTAAAGCCTAGAAGCAGAATGCTGAAAGCACCAACGCCTGCTTGTCCATCTCCAAAGTGACGGTCGCAAGGCCTCCCTTCAGCGTGTCCTCCGAGAGCAAACACGGTTCGCGGGGGGTAGACAAAGAAAGCTTGAAGACTTCAGCCTACCAGCCTTCCTGCTCACTTCAGGAGCCTTTGCCGGTACCCGCCGCCGTGGACCGAAGTTCGAAAACTTTAAAGTGGAAAGCTTGAACTTTATGATTTCCGACCCCTACGAGTCCTTAAACCTTCTCCGACTTCAAGACATGAATCTTCAAGCACACCTAGATCTGCCCATGTTACACAAAGCCGAGGCCATGGGTGTCCTTGACGCCCAGCTCCTCGAAGACGGCCTTTACCAAGGTTTCGGGTTAAGGGTTCAAGTGTTGGCTAAGGCATGGATATCCCTAAACCCTAAACCCTAAACCCTAAACCCTAAACCCAGCCTTTCTAATACTTCGGATTCCGTCCATGACCCGAGCAATCAGGGCAGGTCCAGAGGCATCTCCGCGTCGCATGCCGAATCACTGCCGAATCGACAAGGCGATGTGTTCAAGAGGGGGGCGGGGGGAGGGGGGGAGGGGGGCATCGCTTGAAAGGTCGAGCCCTAAAAAACCGTTATGGCATGAAACTGAAGTGCACGCAAAAATGTAAAGTCTATTCTTGAAACCAAGTGCACACAAATACTAGAAAATACCAGTGGTAAAGCTTCCTGTGATTTCATATCTCATTTCATGTATGATAACGTCCACAACTATACCAAATCCCGACGTTTTGCAACATTCCACGAAAACGGAACCCCAAACCCCGTACTCTAAACCCACGGTACAACGCATATTCATGCGGCAGTCTGACCAAAAGCACGACAGAAAGAGCGAGACAACAAACGCTCGAGCACGCTCCAAAGCTAAGCGGCCCAGCTACGTCCTGTAAGAAACTCTGCCCCGGAGCAAGCAAGTGCCCACACCACCTAGTTGCGTGGATCAGAGCCGTGGCGCCCAACAAGAACTAGAGAGCGAGACAGAGTGAGAGTTACTGAGAAAACGGAAGGAATTGAGGGAGAGAGAAAAAAGGATAAAGACAGAGAGAGAGAGAGAGAGAGAGAGAGAGAGAGAGAGAGAGAGCCAGAGGCAGAGACAGAGACAGAGAGACACAGACAGAGACAGAGACAGAGACAGAGACAGAGACAGAGACAGACAGAGACATACAGAGACATACAGAGACAGAGACACAGACAGAGACAGAGAGGGGAAGACCGGCCTCGTACTGAAGGGCCGCGTTGCTCCAGGTGAACTCTGCGGAGGCGGCCATGGCTGCCCGAGTCATGGCCTTGACCTGATCTCAGAGGACGTGCGAACCCAACCCGAAACCCAAAAAAACCAGGGTCTAAACCTGTAAACCCGCTAGCCTAGACCCTGCCAGAGTCTCGGAAGCGAAGAGGATGCCCCCCCAAAAAAGCCACATGGACTCAGGTTTCCCAAAGCATGGACCCTTAACCCTTGAAAGCCTGAACCCCGAACACCCAAAACACCGTAAGCCCTCCACCTCTTTAAACTGAAGACCTCCAGCTAATCCCTGGGAGCTTAAGCCCTCAACCCTTGAAATGTAAACATGTGTGCAGATTCAACGCCCTGAGCCACTTCGAAGCCCCAAAGGCTGAACCACTCCATTCAGCCAGCCTTCGCTGGCTCCGCGATGAAGAGCTTCGAAGCGCGCTTCAAAGCCTTCGCGATGGACTCCACGGACTCCTTGCTTGGGCGCCCGCGCACGCGTGCGCACGCGCGTGCCCATGCGTGCGCGTGCGCGCTCAGGGGGCGTCGGCTCAGGGGTGCGCGCTCGGGGGCGCTCCGGCTCTTTTACGGTGTCGGATTTGAGGTTGGGGCACACAAAGGTTTCTGCACAACAAGCGCGCGGGTGCGCGGGCCTCGTCAATAACGGCCTCCACAGACATCTCCTTGTCGGTCCAGATTCCGTTCAGGCCATCCTGGCAAGCACCGCATCCGATCAAAACCTCCGCCCCTGTTTCCTGCAACCTCCAAACTAGGACCTCACCCAGATCTCTGTGAAACTCTAGTCTCCCAAGCAGACTAGCAGTGTCAAGGAACGCTCTTGAGCGATGATACCAAAGTATGGAATCCCAGACACAGCCGAAAGCCCTGCAGTCTCGCCGTCTCGCCGTCTCGCCTCAACAGTGTCCTTCAGGCCACCCGTCGGGGCGACGATGGGCAAGGTGCCCATGCGCATGGCCTACCGACGACGGAGTCTTGGGGATGAACACGCGTTCGGGGTTCAAAGGGGCTGCAAAGGGGGGGCCAAGGATGTGTCAGGGCTTGGGGCTTCATCTTTTGGGTTTGGGACAGCCGAGGGAGCCTTACGGCTTGAAGGATACAGTTGAGAGGGTCCCAGGAGCCAAAAACTAATAACCCTCAAAGTTGCACCTTCGCCCTCCCCAAAGCAACCACGTGGCAAAGCCCAAAAAACCCGCCAAGGCAAGCAACAGTCTGGCACCTCCATCTGCACCAGGCCGCAGGGCTCCCACCTGCATTTCAAAGACAAACTAAGTGCAACCTCGTTTGAAAAAGAGGAAACTGCAAAAGAAGAAACCGGTGTGGGGGGGTTTCAAGTCAGGGCTCAGGATACTCCTGGGTTCAGGTTTCTTGTTGCGACGGTTCAGCTCGAAAAGGCTTTGGGGCTGTTGGCGCGCAGGCTTGACAGACTAGAAAGGTTCTAAGGCTGTTTAAGGGTTGCCGGTTTCCAGTAAACTGGACACCACGAGCCATGGTGCTTCAATTCGATTAGCACATGTCTCGGCGCTGTGCGGAGAATTTGAACTAAAGTCCGTTGCCCATCCTCCACAGGCCACACCACACACTCCCCCTCCACGCACTCGGGAGCTCGTGCTCAACTGTTTAGTCGGATGTCGCATGCGGTAAGGAGAAACATCACGGTCATTCTGTGTGTCGGCGTGTCGGTGTGCAGGTGTGTGTGACGAGTTCTGAAGCCATGGTCGCCCTGCTCGCCATCGCTAGCAATGGCAGCTAGTGGGCTCGCGGCACTCTGGGTGGACATTGCCGTGCAGAACATTAGGGGCCCTTGCACCTGAAATCGTCTCTTGACTGCCCACAGCCGCTGCGCCGGCAAACGCAACTCGGATGGTAGGACCTTTGTAAAGCCTCAGATGGTACTCAGACCGGGGCCCTCACAAACCCCGAAACCCTCCGCCCTTGTCTAAGCCCGCAAGAGACCTGAAACATTCCTGGAAATTGTGAGAACGTGAGAACCCGGGGAGCACCGGGACGGCAGCAGGGTGAAGTCGCAGCCGGCCAGCAGAGCGTAGCGCTCAGGGCCCATCCAGCCTGCACGAAGGGTTTGGGCGGTTCAGGGCTGGGATGGGCTCACATGCACCCTTCAGTGTCAAAAGCCATGCCATCCGCATCAGCCTGCATAGAAGAACTTGGTGGGAAACTTCTTCTCGACGGCCTTCGTCCTGTCCCAGGGCACATGGAAGCCAGAAGACCCCTTGACCCTGCAAGAAGAAATCCTGCAGTCTTAAGACCGCAACGAACGGAATGACAGCTTCATGCGAATTGACATCAAAAGCCCTGAAGATCCTCATATACTGTACATAAGCCAACCAAAACAGTGGAACTCTCTCAAACTCTTCAACTCTCCGCTTAGCTGCAAGTTCAACGCAGCAAATACAAGATGGGCTAGATCTTGACCGGGCTTGTGACCTGTTCCGGGACACACACACACACACACAAAAAAAAAAAAATAATAATAATAATAATCCTGCAAAAACTTTTGAACGATAGAAACCCCAAGCACCCGAAACCCCAACTCCTAAGACCTAGACTGTCACTAACCAAGCGAAAAGAAGAATAAACTAAACCCCAGACCCAACCAGTAGACCCAGACGTAGGTGCCAGGCTGGGCCACGAGGTCGGCGCGGCCGGAGCCCACGATGACCACCTGCATCTCAGTGTCCTGGCAGGGTTGCGCTGTATAGGCGTCGGGTTTACAGTTCTCGTGGAAACTCAGCTGCAGCATGTTTGTTACAAGCTGCAGGGCCCAATTAGATGGTGGATGATGGTGGGGAGGGAGGGGTCAGGGACGCCACGTGCAGTGGTGCCTCCTGATTATTGAGAACAGAAGGGTGCCCCCCCTAGAACTGCCCAAGCCAGCAAAACCCCCAGCCCCCATCAACTAACCCTGCAGCCCTCGCTGTTGTGGGATCAGCAGGGTGAACGAAATCTGGGAAACTGAAGTCGCACAGCATGGGGGGGGGGGGGAGTTCGGGTTAAATTGGGTCGGAGGTTTCGGGGGGGTGCTGGCAGCTAAAGCAACAGCTGACCTACAAACGGAGGCCTCCAGGATCCCCACCAGGGCCTCTAAGAGGAGGTCGTAGCCCTTCTGGGCATCCAGCCTGAAGCTTGCCAACAAAAAAAGTGCCACACCGGCCCAAAACTCCCCGAAAACTCCCCGAAAACTCCCCGAAGCTGCCTTCCGATGAAGCACATCAGGGGCCCCTTGGACTCGGGGAGGTTGTTCTGCGCACGGTAGGTGGCCTGGCGAACTGTCCAGGTGGCGTCGTTCTAGATGAGGAGAGGGCTTTGGGGAACCGAACAGCGTAGTGTTGGGATCGCCAGGTTGGCGACACAGTGAGAGAGGCAGGAACTGGAAGCGCTAAGGGCTCCACAAGCTCCCTTGAACCTTTATCGGGTCTAGGATCTTCGTGAAGGTTGAGGGTGAGGGCTCACCCTCAACCTTGTCTCCCTTCTTTCCCCCCAAAACCCTACATCACGACATCTGAAGGTTCGAGAACGGCCCCCGCGTTCAGGGCTTCCCGGCCTTGAGCTCGGCCTTCGCCTCGGGCGCCGTGGCCGCCTGGGCACAAAGGGAGGCCCCTCATGTCCCCTTCATTTCGGAGTTTCTGGGTTGGACCTTTACTTACAGTTTAGCCTTACGACCACACGTAACGACGCACTTTTCAGCCTTGTTTCAGGGGCATACCATGGTCGCGCAGCACGCGACGTGGTTGGCAAGACAACGCCTTCAGCGGCGAGGCCAAGATTGTCTGCTCAGCCGAGGAGGGTTGAGGGAGTCGACCTGAGAAAGGTTGCCCTGTTGCTCTACTTGCCAGAGCATCCATGCCTGGCACGATGACTACGTCCATGTCGCCAGCGCACGCGACTGGCCGGAGCACGCCCGCACGACTTCCTTCCCTGCGCGGGATGTCGTGCAGATTTTCGCTCCTGGCCCAGCGCCTGCCAGCTGGAGTCCGAAGCCAATGTTGGCAGCGGGCGCTGCCCGAGGCGCCAGCGGAAGGCCCCGCATCTGTACAGGTTTCTGTCGACTCCTCTACCCAACAGCCAGAGCATGTTGCAGTTCGTGCCTTTCAGACGTCGCACACCGATTGACTCGGGAACATCCCTACGACCAGCTTCACCACGCATGCTCGTGGGAGGGCGTTGCATGTATAAAATCGTAGTGCCCAGAACCGCTATTTTGCCGTCCATTCATGGCCCTTTGTTGCGAATGCACGATACACTGCAAAAAAGCAGGTAACAGGTCTTCGTGCATGTGGACTTCTTTGACTTGGGAAAGTCACGGCTTGCATCATTCATGCCGGGTACTTGGTTTTTGCAACTAAATGTTAAGTCCTCCTGACTTTTCCCACTCCTGCGCGGATAAATGTCGAAGACCCTCGGCTTTAGCAATGAATTCACGACTTTCCACAACCGCCGCACTCAACAGGCGCGGCCTTACGCACGGTTGGAACGCAGCTTCGGGCTTACAATGTCCAAGAGTCCATAGGGCTTAGAATTGCGGAGCACGTCTGAGCTACCGGCCGTGAAGATGCCGCAGGACATCATGGTCTTCGTGACGAAGTTCTTGTCGCTGGGGGACACGCCCTCCTTCACGCCGTTCAAGATTCCTGGCCGCGGCTGCTTGAAAAACCTGAAACCAGACGCCTCAAACCAAAACCCTCAATCGCACGTCCTGTGCACTTTCCCAGCGTGAAGAGGTCCTCGAGCTCCACGCCCTGCACTGCCGCACTTTCACGCTCAGCTAACAGCGGCCTTGCGATGCCCTGGAGTTTATGGCGTAAGGATGCTCATGGTTTTTCATGCCTCGCAAGGTGTGCACCAAGCACATGGACCAGGCACATGGGCGCCTTCTCCGGATCCGTGCAGCACTCCACCGCGTAGCTGGGAGACACGGTCAAGGCCTTTGCCGGACGGACCATGCGGCAATGCTCCCTGCAACCCTATAAGTCCTAAAAGCCACAGACTCAAGCTCAAACCCGAAGCCCGGAGCTCCAAACATCTCTGAACCTAGCACTGAGCTGGAGGCCCGGTCGGCGTACTTAAGGCCCGCAGCCATGGTGTTGATGCAAGACATCTGCGAGCGAGGCGCACAGGCTTGGCATAGTGTAGCGCTTCCAAATGGAATTTCAAGATCTTCACAGGGCTTATCCGGTTGTCGTCTCGGGGCTTGGAGGCGCTGCCCCCCTGGCCTTCTCGTTGTACTTGCCGATGCGCAGCGGCATCTTGAAGGTGATGCTGTCGATGTAGCGCTCCGGAACGCCGAAGATGCTGGCCAGGCCTGGAAGCAAACGGCCTAACTTGTTGCTAGCCGACGACCGATGACCAGATATGAGGAGGTTCGAGGGTTCCGAGGGGCTTCGGGCTTCGGCTCTGGCTGGGCAGTACGCGCCTTCCTCGCGCACGAAGCGACCTTGGAACACGGCGTTGTGGCAGAGGAACCTTGGTGAAGTGTTGTTGCGGGTAGCCCTACAGCTTCAACTCTCCGCATAAATCGAAAAGCCGAGTGCCAGGGCTTAGGTGGCTTCGGGGCTGTAAAGCTCAGATGCTTTCCAGGGTCCAAGGGCTGCCAAGTGGCGCGGACTTCGTGTTGGTCCACTTGCCTTGGGGCTTCGGCAGGTCTTTGTTGAAGATTGGCTTCGGGAGGGGCTTCGGCCTTCTTTACGGCCTTACATGCTCGCGTCATCTCGCGGCTTGTCGGCTACAAGGCTTCGGGCCTGTGGGCTTCTCAGCGTGGATGAGCATCGGGACCAGGGCCGAGTGCCAGTCGTTGCACACGACCATGCAGTCGCCGCCGTACCTGGGCTCGGGGTTTTCCGGGGTTTTGCCCCGTCTGTCCTTGAGCCGCATCTCTAAACCCTGACACCCCCGGCACTCGAACCCGAGAGCTCCACTATGCCGGGCCCCCGTGCACAGCACCGCCCAAAGGCAGCTCCTGGATGGCCTTCAAAGAAGCCTCGGGCGGTTTTTGGAGCTGAGGGGGATGCAAGGCAGGAGACACACTTCAACATAGATGCAAACAGGCATGCACCACCCGAAGGCGCATGGGATGTACAGGGCTTTGGATTCGTTGGATGGCACTGATAGGGGCTAATCTCAAACTTGAGGAGTTTGCTGCTTGGTGTTTCGCAGGCGACGGCCAGCGATGTGGGGTTCTGGGTCGAGGCTTGTCGCGCCTTGCAGAAGTAGGCGAAGCGAGCTTGGTTGTCCGCGAAGTCCTGCCGAAATTTTCGCGTTTGGCAAAGCGCTTCCGGTTTAGGGAGAAAGGGAGCTGAGCAGTTTGAAGTGGAGGGCGAGGATCCCACATAATGCCACAACGATGCATCGCATGTTCTCTCCCAAGTCAAAACCCAACGCGACTTGTCCTGCTAGTACCTACAGGTGCCTTAGCCCTGGTATTCAAGGCTCATTCTTGCCATCATCTCTACACAGCGAGCCAACTACTCCTGACAGCGAGCCTATCACAATCTCGAAACAAACATGTCACATGTCAGTATGCTCAGAAGCAAGAGTGATGCCGCGGTGCTCTGTTTATAGGTGTTGCCAGCTTTGTGGCTGGATCCACCCTGAGACTCTAGACCCTGAACGTTGAGCCAAAACCCTTCATGCAACATGTTAATATCTTGTAATGATTATGGTTTGGTTTTGATCTGGCTGAGATGTCGGCATCCTTACGCCATGGGTCGGACAGGCTGAGAGGCGTCCTGACCCCACTCAGGGCCGTACAACTTGGCACCGGTCTCTCCGTTGACGCGCTCCAGGAAGGTCGGGTGATCGACGAACACGTAGTCGACCTCGCCAACAGCTACAACCCGTTGCAGCCCTGCCAGGCCTAGGCTGCAGGGCTCTACTGAAGTTGGGGGTTACGAAAGCAGCTAGACCATGCTTTATCGTCGTGCGCATTGGGCAAAGCCCGCCGGGCAACTCCATAATGTAGGTGTCATACTGGTAAGGGGGACCTGAATGCGCCCCCCCGCCGTAACTTCAATTTGATGCTTGGTTGAACAAAGACAATGAAATTAATCTTTTCGGTGGGAGTCCCCTGGGGCGTACCTCTGACTATTGATACATCAGCCAGACAAAGCCTTAGCTTGCGTCGTCACTTTGCTGAGTTTGACCCTGGCCTTCTGCTTGTAGGTGTGGAAGAAGTGCACGGATTCGTTCTTGCCGCCCATGGGCACCGAGCCCCAGTAGCCGGTGTCCCAAGCATCCTTGTACTGGTCATAGCCTGCATGGGAGAAGCGCCGAGGCTGCCGAAGAGCTTCAACCCTGAATGAAACCCCCCGAATTTTGACCCCAAATCAAGAAATCCTAAACCCTAAACCCTAAACCCCCACAAAAACGAAGAGCCAAGTCGTGCCAAGGCACGGGGAGAGATGACCATGCAGCGGTGGCCCAGGGCCGCCAGCGCAATCGGCAGGCCATCCATGGCCTCTCCCAGGCCTGGCTCTAACCGGGGGAAAGCTCCCAAGGCTGCTCCTCATGAAGAAGATGGCGAACCTCAAACCTCAACAAACTCGCAAAGTCTAGGATCTACCCTGCGATGCCCTCAAACACCTACAGCCGTGCATCCAAAAACCCTGCATGCCTCCAGTCTTGGAGAAGGGAGCCACTTCACTGGTGACGAAGACGATCCTGACGAGGGGAGGCTCCCATGACAGCCTTCAGCAGTTCACCGCTTCTGCGACCATGCTTGCTCGCCAGGACACTGGTACTTCTTGCTGATGGTGGTGACCAACTTGCCACCAACCGTGGACACAGCACCACGCCCCTGACGGAGCGGAAGCTGACAACCGAAAGACCACTGCATGGCATGCATCCCTTGCCTCGGCCATCGCCCGTCCCACAGCGACTGCAGGTGGTCCGACCTGCGGCAAAGGCATCATGTTGCGTTTGATGAAAACTTTCATGCTTGCAACTGCCCTCACGGCCAAGCCTTGGGCACGTCCTGCGCCTTGCCATCAGCACCTCACGCATTCAAAGCATACAGAGCATCTACTCGGCAGGTCGGACGGTTTCGTGCTGGAGGCTCTCGGTTTTAATTTCAGGGTTGAGGGCACGAGCCGCCACCAGCCTGCTGCGCTCGCGGGCAATGCGGCAGCTGCAGCCTCAAAATGCAAAGTGTGCCCAGCGCTAAGATTACGCAGCTGCACAGGCCCGAAACCCTGCCCAGCCTTGGCATAGCCCCTGGCCGGGCCAACCGTGCTGGTTGCATAGGCGTTGGTGCCAATCTCACCTGCTGCCACCGGCTTGCCACTCACGATGTTCAGCACCTGGCTTTGAGTATTCCTTTTTCTGGGTTTCAGGGATGACGGGTTTCGGAGCTCAGGGGCTAAAACTCACAAAACTTGGTCGGATCGGGCTTGACAGTCTGGAGCTATCAGCCTATGGGCCTTTTTAATGGCTTCTATAACCTCACAGAGGACCTCTGTGCTGCGGCCCCAGTCACGCTGGTGGGAGCAGACTGGGTCGAGGCCACACCGCCGGCGTACTTCGAGGTGCTCGGCACAGCCATGGCCGGCTTGGCCTTGGCCTGCGGGAAAAGGAGGAGGAGGAGGAGCTTTGAATCTACGAGGCGCTAACCGTTTAGGGTTCAGTGCTTGGCTTGGAGCACCCAAATGCGCCCAAAATGGACATGTGGAGACAAGACTGCACAAATCAAACACCCTGCGCAAACCAAAGCCCCAAACCCTAAACCCTGAACCGCATGAACCGGAACCCCCATACCCTGAGCTGCATCCTGCTCCCAAGCCCACAGGCTGAGCCCAGCAGCTTCCTTCCCGCGCCTTGGGTGCCTCGGCCTTCGCCCCCATTCCTGCGCTGAAACTCTTCGGTTCCGGTTGCTAGGGGAAGCTTCAGACACAGGACCCAGGGCTGAGGCTCTCGGACATGCTCTCGCTTCGGACTCGGAATATGGGGACTGGGCTTGGGGTTGAGGGCTGCGGCAAAGGGCTGAGACCTTTGGGTGCATGGCTGAAAGTGTTGATTGCCCAATTTTTGCCCAAAGGCCGCATCCACATTGCAGCAACATTCGCGATCTGAGCTATCACACAGAATCCATGGGTCCTAAACTCTAGACCCCGCATTCCAAGCCACAAACATCTGCACCCACAAACCCAAACTTTCCCCGTCCTCGTGCCAGGGCTGAGCCCGTGGCTGTCAGGCGCTCGGCAGCAGTCGCCGGCTTCTTGCCCTCCTGGCAGAAAAAAAGGGGAAGCCCCGAAGAAAGCAATGAACGGCTGTCAGGGTTCAAGGCGTCAGGGCTTCAGGGGAGCGTCTTTTGAGCCCTGGTCTCTTGACTTTCGGCTGCTGGACACCTGCAGCAGCGCCTGAAACCCCCCAAGCCCAGCGCCCGAAAACTTCTGCACCCAGCACGAAACATCACTAAGACAAATCCTACAACCCTCACTTGCCCTAACTTGCAAACCCCTAAACCCTAAACCCTAAACCCTAAACCCTAAACCCTAAACCCTCCACGAAGAGCCTCCATGACGGCGGCGGCCGAGATGGGGGACACGGCAGCCTTGGCCTTGGCCGGAGCGCTGACCTCGGGAGTGGCTTTTGGTAGCTTTTCGTAGCTTTTTTTTGTAGATGTTCGTGATTTTCTGTGTTTTTTTGTAGCTTTTTTTGCAGCCTCAAGCGCCTGGGCCCCAGACCGACAAGGCAACCAAGGCAACCTGAAAACTCAAGCTGAACCCTCGCAAACCCACAAGCGCTCGCCAGGTGGCGCCCGCCGAGGCCGGGCTGGTGGTGGTCGGGCCACTGCCGGCCGCCTCTCGTGGACTCGGGCTTTCTCGGTCAATTTCTACGATTTTGGTGTTTTTGGAGTTCTCGTCTCGCGGGAAGAATATTAGTATCCTTATGGGGCCCGCAAAAAACATCGCAAACACAAGACACCATGTGAAAATACAGAAGAAGAGTCAGGAAGTCAAATACTAGCAATACAGGCAGAAAAACAGTAATTCTCAATACAGGCAACAAAACCAGAACTCTATTCTATGTTCTGCTTATATTTAGTTTCAGCACTTTATGCTTCACTTGTACTTACACTTTGCCGCACTTTTGTCACTTTGTTCATGGCGACTCATTCTTGGGCTTTTTCCAAAGCTTTGTCCAAGAGAGCTAGTTCATGCATCTATTATTGTCACTCCTTCAAAGCCAGAGGAGCACCTTAACCTCAAACAAAAACCCTCAACCGCCTTTTCAAAGAAGGGACCCAGCAAAGCCTTGGGAGCTCCACTGCCACCGGCCACCAACATTGCCGCCTTGGACTTCGCCACCTCGTGAGGGATTGCAGATGCTAGGGTTTTCGGCCGAAGGCTTTGATCAGGACTTGAGCCTACGAAGTTCTGTTGGCTTTACATGCGGTTGCACGGGTTTAAACTGTGTAGGGCACCGGAGCTTCGGGGTTTTGTGGTTGAAGGCTCTTCGGCTTTTCGCGCTTGGTCTAAGGGGCTTGGGGTTAGGGGGGTTTGGTGAGTTTGATGGTTGGGCTTGGGGCTTCTAGGCCTCAGGATGTGAGAAACCTGGAACCCCTAAGCATCATGAACCCAAAAACCTGAACGCTCACAACCTTGCCATCCCTCACGACTGTGGCCTGAGGGGCAGCGGTTGCAGAGGCCGCGGTGGGGGCGGCGCCAGCGGCCTTAACCTTCTCCTGGAGTGCATGTCGGGGTTTAGATTTTTGGCGGGGGATGGGATGTTTCATCTGAGTGCTGCAGCAAATTTCATGTGTTTGCCGGGCTTACGATTCAGGGGCTCAACCTCAGGGGTCGGGTGTGTGCCTTCGTCCGTGGGCTGGGGGACTTCACTTTCTCACTTTGGGTGCGCAACTGTGCGACATTGTGAGACTTCTCCGTCTCCTCGCGGTTGGGGGCCTCCTCTCGGGCCTTGGCGGTCTGGGCGACGTCGCCAGCCTTCAGGGGTCGCCTTTTTTCGAAGGGGACTCTTTTCTGAAAGCTGTTTGGACCGCTCGGCTCCGGCAGCCGATGCCAACAAAACTAAAACCGACATGATCATCAAACCCTGAACCCCAAAAACCCCAAAACCCAGAAGAGCAAAAGAAAGTTTCGCGCGCCTTCGCAACGGGCACGACAGTGGGGGCCTGGGCGGGAGGAGTCGCCTTCGGTGCGGACATCCTCGGCGGCACTTGGGATTCAGGAAGAAAACCCGGGAAGTGGGGCAGGCAAAAGCGGGAAGTGCTGGTGCTGCTAGGTATTGGGTCTCTGTTCTTTTTATCCGCTCTTTGTCAATCATTCACCGCTTTTGTTCGGTGTTCGCCAGTCTAGTTTGGGAATAACCCATCAATAACTCTGGAAGAAGAAGTCCTGCAGGCACAGGCGAAAACATTGGGGGGATTTAGGGAAGAATTGATATGAACATTCTTTTGTGATGTATTGAATTGTGCTGCCAGATCGTGCAAACACGAACAAACGATCGACTTAAATACAACATTGAAAATGCTTCCATAGGACTTTTAAGTTCCATTTTGCAACATTCTTGACTGTAAATCAGAGGTTCAGAGGGCTTGACCCGAAACCCTAGTTCTCAGGAGCTGGCGTGGCGGCGGAGGAGAGGTTGCGAGCTAAGAAAACTCGTGCGAGCTCGTCGAGCTTGGAAAATGACGTCGAGCGTGGAAAATGACTGCGGCAAGGTGGATTATGGTGGATTCAGGATGTAGCACAAAATTCTAAATTCAGCACAAAGAAGCCCAAGCCAGCCTGACTTGACTGTGCAAACCCTCGAACCGCAACACACCGAACCGTTGGCCGTAAACATTATCCCCCTTATCCTAACAGTCTTTAATGGGGATTACAGTACCCCCCCAGTATAATCCCTACTAACAACTGTTAGTAAATGGGGGAACATTCCAAATTATATCTCCCTAATCGCACACACACACACACACAGTCTCAATCTCAAAAAGATTGGACATCGTGAATGCTTGCATATGAACTTGTGCTCGTCCCTGCCTAACACTTGTCCTTTGTTTGCCATCATGTAAAACTCACAACCGGACAACCCGCGGGAAAACTGCTTCACACAACGACAAGGCCGTGACTTCCTTGTTGAGTCCTCGAGCTGCCACTGCGTGACCAATGAGCAGTCGCACAAGCACATTTTCACGAACAATGAAAAATTGCCGTCGTTGGCACAAGACTCGTCAATGTTCCCTGCACCCCTTGGCTCTGATTGTCTTGTTGAGTCCTCAAGCTGCTACTGCGTGACCTATGAGCAATTCGCGCCTGGGACGTTTTCACGAAAACGGAAACGCGTCTTTTTAATGTCCCCCGCGGCCCCCATTCATGTGACTAGAGACGACGAAGAGTGGCAGCGACGCATCCTGTTTACACACACAGATACACATACACACCCACACACCCACACACCCACACACCCACACACCCACACACCCACACACCCACACACCCACACACCCACACACCCACACACACACCCACACCCACACACGCACGCACGCACACACGCACGCTGGCCATTCGACATCCCACCCGTGCGTGAACTTCGTCAAGCTGACAAAAGTTCTGCCACAGCTGTTTGTGACAGGTCCACAAGGCATTCAAATGACCCTTGTAGGCTTGGCCCTGTTTCTGGAGGTGTAGCTTCTGATACGGGCACCCTCCCGTACATGGAGTTGCGGACCATAAGAAGATTTTGACTCCGCGTTCCATAGCGTTAGCGATGATCCCTTTTGTTGCGCTGATCGTCTCGGACCTCCTTCCGTCATCTCTGTCAGTGACGGTTAGAACACAAACCCTCGGAAACTCTTCTCTCGCAATCTTATGCATATATTGGAATCCAGAGGATCACAGAACTCGATCAAGAGCCATCTGTGGTCTCTCTCAAGCCCTACCCTTTCGGCCAGAGATACCCATTCCCCTTTCGACATGTTTGGAACACGCTAGATACTCCATGTTCAGTCATGCGAAGACATGCGTTGGATGCATGAATTGGCCTCAAGAACAAAAAGAGTGTTGACATATAGTTGGGCAACAGCTTGGCAGTCGCAGCAGCAGCAACAGCAGACAGTTTGCACATTCGGTATGTTGGCAGTTTGTTGCATCAAGGAGACCTTTGTCGCTGCACTTTGTCAGAAGCTGGCTATCTTGAGATCCAGAAGATTTTGGAATTGTCAGAAGCTGGCGATCTTGAGATTCAGAAGATTTTGGGATTCGTTGGAGGCTGACAATTCCAAAATCTTCTGGATCTCAAGATAGCCAGCTTCTGACAAAGTGCAGCGACAAGGTCTCCTTGATGCAACAAACTGCCAATATGCCGAATGTGCAAACTGTCTGCTGTTGCTGCTGCTGCGACTGCCAAGCTGTTGCCCAACTATATGTCAAGTCCCTCGAAACTCCCAAAACTTAGAGGAACCCCTCGCGCTCACACTCTTTTTGTTCTTGAGCCAATTCATGCATCCAACGCATGTCTTCGCATGACTGAACATGGAGTATCTGGCATGTTTCAAACAATCCTCCTTTCCAGGAGTTCATAGCCCATGAGGACTGGAACTGCACCTATGCCAGATCACTTTCGCCCCAAAATGTGCTGCCCCAAACTGTGTATGACACCACGGCCATACACCACGAGCTAGTGTGAGCTACCAGGCGCTTTCTCAAGACAGGAACAACAGCTTATTGCAGCAAATGCTCTTGGCCCGAAAGAGCCATACGATGTTTTTTTTCGAGGTCTTGATGTTTCTTGCGCTCATAACCTGTCGGTTAAGACCCGGGAAGGGTGTGAGTGCTGCTGGTGTTGTAGGATGTGCTGGTATGTGGAGTGGTTCTGGACTTGGTGTGGCATCGGTGACAGGATTGAAATGATCGGGATAGGTGATGGCTCTTATTGGGGGTTCCTCCTCATCCATGTTCATGGCTCCCAGGATGAAGTTTACACGACGTCAAATGGAAATGCAAATGCTTCCGTGATGCTACTGCTGACGCTGCAGCTGCGGTGGCTGCTGCAGCTCCTCCAACCCAACCCTTCCTAGTTGCTTGTCATCTGTTGTAGCCCAACACCCGACCAGCAGGACTCACACCCTTCCGGGTATTAACCGACACGATACAACTTCCTTCAGAAGCCCTTCCTCGCAGGTCTGCTTGGTCCAAGAGCTTCAAGCAGGGTCAAATGCGGGCCTGTAGTATTTGCAGAAACCTGGAACTGGCACTGCCCACGGCGGTCGTGGTGCAAAACGCACAGTTTTTACACAATGGAAGGTTTTTCAAACCAGTAAAATGCAACCAACTGATCACTTCACCCCAGCTTTGGTTTAAAAAGAAGCACAACTGCCGTGCACTGTGCAGTCGGCCGAAGCCGAAAAAAGGGACGCATACATCTGCAACTTCTCCAAGTTGACTCTTACAAAAGCATTGATGGCAGGCGTTTGCTTCTCATGCCCATTGGAAACAAGCTAATTGCGTCACCGACTCAAGGGCCTTGATTGAGGTTCGTGGATACCTCATTGACGTTGAGCAAATGTCTAAGATGGTGGTTTTGACTTTCTGGCATACATTCGCATTTTTTGCGGCATGGATTATTTTGACCGTTGAGTACTAAGCGCGGAACTGGGTCAATTTCGGTTTTTTTTTGGTTGTTGCTGCTTGTTCGCTGGGTTGTTTGGTTTGTTTGGTTGGTGGTGCTGTCTCTTCTTGCTTCTGCTTCTGACAGTAATCCGTTTGTTGCAAAATCCACAAGAACAGCCTACTGTGCTACTGATGTAGTAAAGAGGCGCCGGCTTCAAAAAAAAAAACTTGAGCGCTTCAATCGGCAAAGAAGCAGCTTCCAATGAGATTTCACAATTATTGCGCAACAAGTTCAACATTTGAAATTGAAGTTTTTTTTCGGGAGGACAGACATTCTGTCAAGGTTCTGAGAATTTAGACCTCTTGTAGAACAACTTCAAGCCGCTCAAAGCGGCCTTAAGTTTAAGGTTTTGAAAAGCATAAATTTGGGTAGGCAGGTAAATCAAGACCACAAATCCAATCAGTAATGCTTCTCCGTCTCAGAAAACCCCAAACGCGCCCAGAGGACCCCTGTTGGTGAGCCTCGAATGCAACAAACTTCCACCAAAAACCCAAAATGGGAAGTTACAGTTAGAGAAAGTTCCGGTTCCAAACAAGTTCACACTTTGCCGCCTTGCTGCCTGCTGTTCTAATTTTGGGGGGAAGACTGACACAAGACTTAGACTGGAACCGACTGAGAGGCTTATTTGTTTTACTCGCAACGAGGAGCTGTGAAAGCCAGATCTGGCTTCCCGTGTGTGAAAAAAAACGCCGCAACTGGGCCCAAAAATGGCTCCCAAACTTGGGTTCCAATTTGAGGCTCCAACCTGGGTGGCCTTGTATGTTCACACAGGAAATCCAAAATCTAGGGCCCGTTTTCGGTGCCCAGAATTGAGCTGCTTTTGGAACCCATTTGAGTTCAATAATGATTGAAATCAACTCACAGACAAACAAGATTTTTTCTATTCGATACTGTTTGCGTCAACACTGAAGAAAACAAAAAACGCCGTCGATACGCGTGTTCTTCTTTTAGCTGGCATTCAAGACAAAGCAGTCTTGCATTGTTCGCGTGCGATCTTTCTCGCACTGTGGAGATCACTTCGGCTTCCCCACCATTTCGGGTTGATTTCTGGCCCTCTTTTTTGTGTCTCCAAAATCCACACACCTTTCACCACCCGCACACTTCCACATTGAACAGCCAGCAGAACCCAGCCGACATACACGCAAACGCACACCACCCACCAAAGCCAGTTTGCACCCACATAATGACACACACCACACTCCATGACACGACTCTCTGCCAAAACGCCGAAACTACAACACCCCACACCCATTCACAATGAAAAAACGAGGTAAACACTGCAAGGTCAACTGTTTTTTTTGATTTGGTGTCACTTCTGAGACTCCCTTAACCCACACACTGACACTTGCACCGCAAACCAACCCACTTTGCAACCACAAATGCTCACACACACACATCCACAACACTCTTGCACATGCGCCCTCAGAAAAACAGCCGGATGCACGTTCTTATGGACATCTTTAAGTTCCGAGTGCAATTTTTTTCACTGTCTTTCTGGTCAATCGACAGCTTACCGGGCTGACAGCACTCACCAAAACACTTGCTGAACGATCTGTTTGTGTTTAGTTCCGGGCGGTTTCTCGAAACTCTCTCTTTCTGAAGCTTGCAACTCAACTGAGAGATCATCCCGACAAAAAACCATTGAACAAAAGCAAGAGTTCAGACGGGCGAAGGCAATTTGAACTGAAAAAAACAAAAAGTGTTGCTGTGTATGAATCTGCTGCTGAATCTGAAGAAAATTGTCTGAGTGTCACGACTCTGGCTTCTTTCCAGTGTTTTCTCGATTTCTCCAAAGTTCAAAAAGAAAAACCAATGTTTTTGCAGTTCTTGCTAACATTGAAAAAAAGATCACACTGACCTCTCATCATGGCCAGAACGACTTGAGAGTCGCCCAGCCTCGATTTCCATTCCATTCGACTTTTTTGACAAATTCTCTTGTCTTTGATTCTCCAAAATGGCCAAACAGAAATTCAAGGCACACTGAAATTTGACAGAAGATTGAGCAGTAGAAACTCTGCTTTCTTTCAGGCTGGGTGCTCTCAATTCTTTGTCTTTCGTTTTGGTTGCGTGTTGCAATTCTTCTCTGGATTCAGCACCATTCAACGAATTTTCAAAATTTCTGAAGTCTCCGAAAATGTTGAAAAAAACCCTCCAAATCAACACTTGATCAGTTAAATTTGTTGAATTTACTCTGGTGTTTCGCTCGCTTCGCTCGCACTTATTCACATTCTGGTAATACACTTTGCAATTTTCAAGTGGTTTGGCTTGGGCGTCGCGCGCAACCTTAACGAATTAACACCACGGTTGAACTCGTCTCGTCCTGCAGTTGATTTCTGTCCAAACGGCACTGTCAGAGGCTTTTAAAAACACTTGTTTCAAAGCATTGAACTTTTCCCAGCTGCAGTTTCCACCGACGTTGACTCTGCACCCTTCTTTTCTCTCTTCTGCCTTCAGGCCTTGCACCAAAACCTGGAGAATCTGAAACCCAAGATGAGGGGCAGCAAAATTGATCGAAAAGGTAGGGAAGCTCCAGTGACCTCCACAGTTAGAGAAAGTTCCGGTTCCAAACAAGTTCACACTTTGCCGCCTTGCTGCCTGCTGTTCTAATTTTGGGGGGAAGACTGACACAAGACTTAGACTGGAACCGACTGAGAGGCTTATTTGTTTTACTCGCAACGAGGAGCTGTGAAAGCCAGATCTGGCTTCCCGTGTGTGAAAAAAAACGCCGCAACTGGGCCCAAAAATGGCTCCCAAACTTGGGTTCCAATTTGAGGCTCCAACCTGGGTGGCCTTGTATGTTCACACAGGAAATCCAAAATCTAGGGCCCGTTTTCGGTGCCCAGAATTGAGCTGCTTTTGGAACCCATTTGAGTTCAATAATGATTGAAATCAACTCACAGACTTATTTTGTTCCCAAATTCATCCAGGAATGTATCTTCATCTTCTCGAATATTCATTACCCTTGGTTACTCCATTCGAGCCCTTTTTCCGAGGAAGGGTACAGAATCGATCACCTGTCCATTACGCAGGTCTTCTGTCTCACTGGGTGCAAGAACACGAAAAACCCCGTCGGGTATGTGAGACATAC